TTTCGCATTTTAGTTCTCAATAGTATTAGCGAGCACAAATTGTTTTTGCTTACATTATAGAACTAAATGAGCTCTTTCCGTAGTAATAATAACTTCGATGACATCCCTTGGTTTCAAAGAGAAAAACTGGAAAAACCGGTGATCGCTTGTTCGCGCTAACAGTGTCGCGCTCTGTACCAATAAATATGTTAGTGCGTTCAAGACTGGGATTCATTGTTCAATCGAGCGACAAATCAGCTTACACGAGAACAGAACCATTCAACAAAGGGGGAAAAGAAACGAGAACATGTTGAACGAAAAAATGCTTAGATTGCAGGCGAGCTGGTGTTTCATGAGCTTACATGGTAAAGGCCCGTTCACACTCTTGCGACCGAGTAAGACTGAGAGCGACCAGACTGGTTTTCAAGCTTTTTGCAACTCCTTAAGACCGGATGCGAGGCATCGGAGCTGGTCCTAAGAGATCGCAAGAGGCTTAAAAGCCGGTCTGGTCTCTCTCGGTCTTACTCGGTCGCAAGAGTGTGAACGGGCCTTGAGGCTGTGGAAGCTTAAACTTAAAACAATAAAAAGGCAAAAAAAAAAGAAAAAAAAAGGCCACAGACAATTTTCTTTTTTTGCTTTTCTCTTCTCTGGCCTTGAAAATTTTTGGGGTCTTTTAGTGCTTTCGTAAACACGTGGATGAAGTCTGCGTCATAATTTATTTATTTACTTATTTCAATTGACCTTCAAGAACCCCTCAGGAAGGTTATTACAGAAGGGTTTAACATTCGTGTTTGTAAAACTAGTAAACAATTTAAAGAAAAAAATGGTAAAGAATGGGCAACGATCAAACACCTATCTATTTAACCCCTAGGTTAAGAGCATGCTCCCGGGATATACAGAAAAAACAAGTCAGATTACAGAGGAAAAAGAATAAGATCGCTTTTTCTATATAAAACCGAGTTGTGTTACCGTCCGCTTGATTTGATCAAACATTAGAAAGTTACTGCCTGCTATAAAACTAAATGGCGCCGGTTTACTCATGGCCCATTTTATCGTGTCCCTCTACATTCCGAGAGGTGCGTTCATCCCGCACGTGGAGCGTTATCGGCTCTTCGTACCTGCAGGAAAAAAGAAATGACTACGAGCCAGATTACGGGCCGCCATTAAATCCCGGATCAAGAGCCTTGGAAACTCGCGGTAAGAAATTATACATATATCTCGAGTCTTTCGCCTGCTGCGTGAGACTTTTGGAAATTAGGTTTGACTAATGACACGGAACATTTCCAAACAATCTCGCGTCGTAATTAACAAATCAATGTTTCGCAACGCACCGGTCAAACTCAGTCCTGGCCATCGGCCAAAAAAGAAAAACAGGTTCGGTGACTTTTGTCCTTGAACGAACTTGGTAACAGCTAGGGAATACAGCTATATTATAGTCGTAGACATACCAAGACGTTCTGGTTGTCCTTCGCGTCCCTTACTGCGGTCTGCAACACTCCTCCATTGTTGTAGGCGTTACGGAAATGAAAAAAGCAAAGGAAAACGTTAGTCGCTACTTGCAAATAAAAGGAACGCGTTACCGACATACGTTACTTCAAAAGAAAAGGAACGCGTTATGGTTACCGATCAAGAGTAACGCGCGTTACTTCTGTGTTACTTCTTATCTATTCGTTAGAGCGTTTTACTGTTTTCACCAGGACAAAGGGCGTGTGCGTCGGTGTCTTTTTTTCTAAAGATAGGACTGTTTGCGTGAGGAAAGGAGAGGTATACAATTTTGACGTCATGTGGGAAGAGTGCAATAATTTACATATATAACTTGTCACCTAGAAACACGAAAATAAAAAAAATTTAAGTGCTTTTCTTTCAAGTTTTGGGAAGATTTTTTATTAATGGTAACGGGCAATGTCACTACAGTAACTGATGACGTACTTACTGCAAGCACGTTATCTGTTGATGTTTTAAAAATATGTAACGGGTACGTTACTGTGTTACGGAAAAAAATGTACACTTTACAGTTAACGCCATTAGTGGGAACTCGTTACCGCCGACACTGTTTTCTCCTTTGCGTTTTTAAAAGAGCGTTTGAGAAGCACTAAGCAGAGCGCTGCTAAAAAGAGAGAGTCGAACTAGGAAGTGAAGCGTCGTCTGCCAGCCCTTTTAAAGTCCCGTGGCAAGCGTACAACAGACTAAGCGCTGATTGACGGATTGGCGGACGCGAGCGTTCGAGATTGCCGTGATCGACGAGAGAGAAAGAGAGACAGTTAAGCGACACTTCCTGTTCGGATATGATCAAAATAATGGCGGGCGGCAGTGTTGCTTCGTGGACCTGTGAAAAGAGGCTATTCACCGCAACCAGGTTTGGTGGCTCAAAACCATTGTCCTTCGTTGTCGGTTGACAACTTAATCTAAAAGGGACGAACATTAAAAAAAAAAAAAAAAGTTAATAGAAAAGTTTCTTTTTGCAAGTTGGCGAGCAGTGTTTGTTGTGTGTCTCTTTAGTGCGTCCCGACGCTGCTGAAAGGTATCCCCTGTTTTGCATAAGTCACTGATGACTGCGTGCTTCACGTTTTCTTTGTAGGCAACCATCACCCGTTGGATGCTGAAAAGAAAGAAAAAAAAAGGACGTATATGCGACAGCCCTGTTCGTTATAGCCGAGTCCGGCCCAAGCTTCAAAGACAATCAATTAAAACAAGAAGAAAGAAACTTGGATATTTAATGTCTTGTATCAATTTTGATTCAGGCACACACAGCCGGAGAAAAAACACTTGCAAATTGTAACGTAAAAAAAAAAAAAGAAAAGATGGTTATTTAAGGAGAACTTGAGAGAGGAAAGACAAGTGTTTGATACACCTCGAGGATCACAGAGATCTTAATTGTTCCGACATTTAATGCAAAAATTAAGCGAAAACAAAATATCTTTCTAAGATAGCGTTCCAAACCCATGCGGATCTATAAAAAGCTTCAAAACAATCCTACTTACAAGATAAAAGCGCCATTCAAAACTTTTATTATTAAAGCTTTTTTTTTTAGCTTCCTTTAATTTTTTTTTTTTTTTTTTGTGCAACACTAATTGTTTTTTTTTTTTTTGTATAAACATTAGTTAGATTAAAAATGTCAAGCACAGTAACGGCAAAATGTCAGAGTATCTTTCGGATGTACGGCCTTCAGCACGATCTGGTTGCCTTCCGGCGTGCTTTGACTGCGCGTGCACGATGGAGGGTCCAGGCTCACAAGACGCCAAAGCGTTACGATAGGAAGCTTGCGCTAGAGACGGGAAACACAGAAGGACCTTTCTGCCGTTCTCACATCTACATTTTGTAATGTAACAGTACAGTGCCCTAGAGTGGGCTCACCGCCCTATCTACCCCGTGTATTGCGCTGACGCGGCCGATGTCGAAAACGCCGGAGGCGCTGCAGTAGATTCCTCCTGAAACTTCTCCTGCCCGCGACTGATATGAGCGATAAGAGCCGCCGAGCCGACCAGGTCTGGCCAATGCGCGCTGGAAAGTTTCAGGAAGGAACGCTTACAGCGCCACCGCCGCGTCGACATCAAACGCATCAGGCCGAGCCGTCCGGTGAGCCCACTACAACTCTCTAGGCCACTGTAGTAACAGCCTATCCGAGAGGCTTCAAAACTACGCGCCCACACACTGCGGTAAAGCCCTGTGTATTTTGTTTACGCATAGCAGATTAATATCCTATTCTTAATACGTGTTCATTTCACAATGGAGCATCACTGGATTTATGTGAAAGATACAAAAAAAAAAAATGCTCTCGTGAAAAAAGAAATTACAGTAAAGCAAACTCCATACCTATGTCTGACAAGAATTTCGCTATAGTGCTGATGGCTCTGCGGCGACGCCAGTAACGTATACGTCTCCAAGCATCGAGCAACAAAATTTACATGTGAACGTACGGTATCACGGATGGTATCCTTTTTTTTTTCCATTCCCTGCACGCGAAATCAACTTTCAGCGGAATGAAAAAAACAGCGCAAACAAAACGACGGACCAGTAGAAGAGTATACACACAGACAAGGGGGGGGGGGGGGGGGGGAAGGGGGGGGGGGGGACAAGGGACAAGGTGTATACCCTTCTACTGGTCCGTCGTTTTGTTTGCGCTGTTTTTTTCATTCGGATGCATTACCAACTCGCCAAGATTTCTACGCTTCTACAACTTTTAGCGGTTTCAACCGCTGTGACTTTAACAAAGACGCACGGACACCTCAAAAGATGGTGCGCCTACGAAACGCGCCAGCCGCCTTCTACCGGGCGTTGATTGCGCGTAAAGTGTATCAAATACACCAAGCTCGCCCTACCGCAAGAATCTTTATCCTTGGAGAAATCGCCTTTACACACGAGCTCCATCCGTCGGCGTCCTCGTGCCGCAAAAAACGAAAAAAAAAAAGAAAAAAAAAAAAACAAGGTCAAGGAAAACAAGCTTACCGGGCATCGCGTCTTGCTCTTCTCGTTTGATCGGTATTCAAGATCGACCCCCCGTACTCCGTTCCTGGGTACGCCGGAAGCTATATAGGTGCTCGTTTAAGCAATCATGCGCCTTTATGTCGCCAGGTGATCACGCTTCTCTTACCCATACCTACACGCGGAGAGCGATTATCAGGTGATTAAAAGGGCGCGATGGATCGGTCAACCGAGCACGCATAGCTCCCATCGCATTGTCAGCTTGGGGATAAACGGATTACAGCGATGGACGCGCCTACCTCGAGATCTCTCGGCAACACGCTTCCACTTGCCTTTTCGTCTGAACCAGCCTGTTTGACCTGTGGCCGAATGCTTATATACTACTCACCACGCAACATGTAAAGCTCGACTTCGTCGCAAAATAAATATTTCCTTCTCAAACCCCTACCCACATTCTCCACGGTTTGACATTTGCCTCCTCGATCGCTGGAAGGAGGAAACGCGACTGGCAAACTTCATCGCTTTTCGTCCTCTTTCCTTTGTGTAAGTTTTTTGAGGAGGAGCCGTAGTGCGTGCCGAAGGAATCTTTCACCCGACAGTCGACAGACAGCCTTGCCGACTCGCAAGATGCTGCTCCGAGACAAAGGTGTCCTCCGGACCGTCTTCATGGCCGTAGCCTCCGTGTTCGGCTACGCCATCTTAATCTTCCTGCAGTACGGTCTCCTGGCGCTCCTGGCGTTCCGCAGGGCCGCCAAGAAGATGAAGCACAAGCTGACGTTTCCGCACCTCAACAGTGGTACGGGTTACTCGGGACTGTTGACGCTCAGGGAGTGCGTGCGGCACGTGAAACAAGTGCCCAAGGACGCCGGGATGGCCGTTCTCGAGGAGACGGTGGACCTCCACGCCGTCGCCAGGTTCATCCTATGGTGCATGGCGGTGGGCATCAAGACTCTCGCGGTGTACGACATCAACGGTAAGTGTCCATCGTCCGTCTTAACACAGAACGTGTTTTATCGGCTGAATAGAGCCTTTTCAGAAGTCAGCGCCATCTAGTAGATGGGGCGCCAAGTTTCCAAGTCCGCCAGTCTGTTGGACGCGGAGGGGGGGGTCGCGTCACTGTTTGGCGCGAGCTTGGTTCGACTCGTATTGGACACGAGGGCGGCGTCAGCGTTCGGCGTGTACTCGGATCCAATCACACGTTTCGTGCCAAAAAAATGCCGATGTTGCTCGAAGAACAGACGAACATTCGAAAATGCTCTGTTCCGTGAGAGAAAGCGTCACAAAGAGCCGTAAATGTTCCCCTTAAATTAGAGGAAAAAAAAATTATTGTCACGCAACGTCGATTTCCCCGCTAAATTTAATGGAGAAAGTAATGTCCCGTAACGTCGACTTCCCCGCTAAATTCAGCGGTCACTGACGTCGTTGTGCGATCCCGAGTCTCACATACGCCAATTTGCATGCTACATTTAATGACGTCTAAGTTCTGCGGGGTTGTAGTGAGCTCTCACAACATTGTGTGCCCCCCCGGTATTCACGCGGCCCATAAACCACGTGAACGCCCGATCGAGAGGTTGGACACACTCTATAATCTGGGCTCTTTACGCGGAGAGCAAGTCGTCTGCTTGTTGCGCTGGAGTCGCGATGACGTCGAAACGACACAGAGCTCCGATTGGCTTTGGCCAATCGGAGCGATTGGCTTGGCGATTGGCTTGGAAAGGAGAGTCGGTAGACCTCAATGCTAGATGCCTTGCAATCTACCCACTATGTTTTTTTTTTGTTTTTTTTTTTAATTGGCCAATAAAAGCTTGGCTGGCATCATCGTAACCCGTGTGCAAAGGCAGACGAACTTGCGCTCGGCATTCGCGATTGGTCGAAACGCTTTATTTGCATTCGTTTTTTGTTTTGTTTTTCGTCGATAAAAATCGGCGCAATGTCCTTGTGTACGTTTTGACGATGTTGGTTTAAGAATGCGACGACTCCGAGCTTTCGTTGTTGTTTTTACACACACACCATGTAACTTGTGTAACAGTTTGCAAGTGATGATGATGAGTAGTGAATGTTATACAACTCATGACGTCACGGCCAGGTAAATTTTGGTTGTGACGTCAAGAACGGAAACCATAAGAGTGCGCGTGCTGGACGTAGGGCAACTGAAGGACACGCCAAAACTGTTTTTTTTTTTTTTTTTTTGTGTGCGGGACTGCAGAGTTGTTGTTGTAGTTGTTTTTTAATGAGCAGTTACGTGAAAGTTTCGCGCTAATTGCTACGATGCGAACGTTGAAATACCGACTTCTTTCGACGAAATAATGCGAAACAACTCAGTCATGTATCTAAAGCCGGGCATCAAAACATTTTCGGTAGGTACGAAACACAGAATAACATTATCCGAGTACTTTTTGCATGTGACTTCGAGATCTTAAGACTTCATAGCGGTGTAATTTCGATAGCTGCAAGAGCGAACAATATCATCGAAGTCTGCAAAGAAGCTTGTTTTGTTTGGCTCTATTTTTTATTATGCATCATTTAGATAGTTGACTTTCACTAACGTATGTACGCGCGTAATCGCCGATAACATTTGAATTAATAAACTTCCTGCGGGTTAGCGGCGATGATAAAGGCTGCCGAACGGGCAACTGCAGGAACCGTGTTGGAAAAGGTCGAGCAGTTCAAGACGGTCATGAAGGATGCTCTTCAAGATGCCCGCTGTCCCAAGGATGCCGTGCAGTTCGTCCAAAACAGTAAGAATTTTGAACGTAAAAACTATACTGCATGTCCATGCGTCCGTCTCTGAACAATATACCGACTCTTCTCCACTCGCCAGAGCTGCTCTTCGACGAAACAATTGATTTCAGACGCCGCCTCAAATATGCAGTATTACTCAATTACAGGGTGCGTCAAGTGAACCGTTGGCCTTTCGAAGCGACCGCCATTAATCGGTTCTTTATTTATTCACTTATTTATTTCAGGTTACCACGCAACGCCAGAGTCATTATTGCAAAAAAAAGGGGGGGGGGGGGGGGGGTAGCACAGTTACATGAAAGCTAAGAGTGTAGTTTCATATACAATGCACAGATAAGCTAAAACGCAAGCTCACAGGTGAATACTTGCTAAACATCAGCAAAACCGTGTCACAGAAAAAAAAAGAACAAGCCTCATCGCTCGCAGCAACTACCTTGTTTAACAAAAAACGAACACACGCAAGACATCATTATCATTGGTCATGACAACCTGCCCAACTCTCTCTCGTAAAAGATGGAATCTGATAAGATGGGAACAGTGTCGTCAGGCAGTCCGTTCCGCTCTTTTATGGTGTTAGGGAAACAAAATATTTAAAAATGTTGGTCCCGGGACGCCTATTCTCTCATTTTCTTTGAGGTGGCCAATCTGCGAGAGACGAAGTTATGTGGTTGAATGAAATTCGGTTAACTAATCCCGGTGCGATCATGGTATATTGCATGGAGAAATTTCAGCCGCGGACGTCGCCTTCTCGTGCACGAGGGTTCCCAGTCTAATTGAATTGCACTTTCTCTGTAGTTATAATTTCTCGTAACGAATCGGGCTGGTCTACTCTGCGCTTTCTCTAGTTTGTTGATCCGATAGCGCTCGTTTGGGTCCCACAGAACACTGGCGCACTCAGATTTTTCTTACGTTAGAATAAAACAATGTTTTAATGCGTTAGCATTAGAACGCTCGTTTTAAGGATGACCGTATCCAAGCGGGTCGACGTACTCTGACAGGCAGAATACAAAAAAGCGGTGAAAAAATGACAGGAAGATCTACTGGTGGATTCTTGGGAAATCCGTTAGCATGATTCTCACTCTAACAAAAGCCCGTGCGTCTACTTTCCCGCACAACACTCGGAGAGCCAATCACCGCATCCTCTCGAGACAGCTCAGCGAATGACGAAGCCGAAAATAAGTTGTGACATTAAGCAATGCAAGCGTGACGTTTTGTGTCACGCTTCCATTGCTTCACGCCACTGCGGTGGCGCAGCTGTCGACACTGCGCATGCGCAGATGTTTCGCTGGGCTAGGTGGCGCAAGCTACCATCCGTTATAAAGGGTACAGCCGTTAGCATCCATCCATCCATCCATCTCTGGCATCAGGCGAATCTGGTTTCTGCACACCCATCTTGCCCCACATCCTCTGGCAAACGCGAGTGTGTTGGTCGATACCGCCTTCTGCGCGCCGCCATCTTTGTCCAGTGGGCTGTAGACCGTCTTCAGAGCATGCGCAGTTGATCTCTGCTGCCGAATATCGGACGCCGCGCACGCGTCCACATACCAGTGACTCGGCATTTTTTGTCGCCTAGATGATAAATGCCGGAAATGTAGATGGCACTGTACGCAAATTGCGAAAAAAATACCAACAGACTCACTTTTTTTTTTTCTTTTCTAGGTGATGATGCTAAGAACATAAACGGCACAGCCGAGGTCAAACTGTACGTCATCGGTCCCGAAGCAGGCAGGGCTGGTCTAGCCACCGCGCTCGGAACACTCTGCGAGGACTACAAGCGCGGACTGCTCAAGGACGAAGATGTCACCCAGGACACCGTAGACAAGTACATCAAGAGTAAGCGTCTCTGGGTGGGCTTTGAACGCGCGACACGTGTATGGTCTCCGACAGCTCAAGAAACGCAGGCCTTGCAGTTCTTGAGCTGTTGAAGTTGTCATTGTGTTCACAGTTCTTACTTCATGATACGTTTTTCGGCATTTTTATCGATCTCGTTGGCTGCGCAGTGATATTAAGTTTCACAGGGCTCCTCCCCTGTGTCTTTTTCAGCTGTCAATTACTAAAAAAAGGGCTGACGGACCTCTAAGGTTTCGTAGATCTAAAAGAAAAAATATATATTTTAAGAAGAATTTAAAAATGTTTTCTCTACCTTCAGAAACATCCCTGGCTCTCGGCATCCCGTCTCTGAAAACTGAAGCGCTATAGGTAATCTCTTCGTGAAACGCGACAACCGACGCGCGTTGGGTCACAGTGATCGCGTGACGGTGAAGTCTGACGATGAATTCGTGTTGCTTCGGTTTATGCAGACCCCCTAAGCCTGACGGTAACCAAGGTGAACCGTAGACTTGTTCTACCCCCTCTTGACGTTTCGCTTGCTGGTCTCCTGGTGCCAGTATCGAGATAGGCCCACTGCCGTTGTGTCGGGTCCGTCAGAAAACGAATACCTATTGCTAGATCTGTTTTTGTCGACCCCGTTTTTCAGCCGCCCAGGCATCCCGTACACGTTGAAACTTCAGTGACTACGTACCGAGAGAACATGCAGTGTTGTGACGTAAGGTCTTTTAAACGCTCCAAGAGTTCGCCGTTCATGCAAAATGGTTCGACGCTTACATACTAGACCCTTCTCAAAATTCACTGCAATCTGGTCACTCAAATAGTAGTTTACCTTCTACTGTACTAATGGCAGCAATTGGCCCGCACTCTGTAGTATTCTGCCGGACACCGTCACCTTCGCTAGTGAACGGCAGCCAAGAATGTGTGTTTTTATCTTTCTGGACCTCTCGGGGGTTTCAGTGTTGACAAATATACAACCGGTAAGGACGAAGAATCGGCCCACATTGAGGCCGTGATAAAATTGTATGCATCAAGAGGCTGTAAAGCACATTAAGTACCGCCTACAGACTGACTGATCCCGAGTTAAAAATGAACGCCTAAGCAGTTGCATTCAGTTCCTGCGTCGCATCGCACTAACGTCTCGAACGTATTGGCCTCGCATCATCTGCTTCGGAGCATCTTCAACGTCTTACATCATCAGTAAACAGAAAACCGCCAGTGAGTACGAAACATATATGCCATTCCTCAAATAATGATAGTGATCAAAGTGGCCAGACTGAATTTCGTAAAGGGTCTATATAATATAATCTCGACGTAAAGCGAACTCAACCTTGTCATAACGCCTCGTATAATAACATCCAGTGCACGTCCGAATTATTCGTGACATCAATTGTCGACATTTCGTATCAAACTATCAACATTAACTTCACGTCTTACAAGGGAAAGACGCCCAATCGACACTTAACAAAACTTCTGAAATACAAGTTACGTCCATACATGTTCGTTCCGTATTTGCTGCATGCTCCTCCAGGTTTCGGCCTGGCGGATGTTACAAAATAGAATCATATAGTCCTTGTCAATGGGACGCTAAGTACTTCATATTTTATTTGTTTCTGACCACGCAGATCAAGCGAACGGCATGCCGGATCCAGAAATTATCTTCCGTTTTGGCAATTCCAACGCCCTCCTTGGATACCCCCCGTGGCACGTTAATCACAGCGAGATTCTGTAAGTAGGACGCAGTTCATTTTATGCGCCAGCAACGGCGCTGCTTATGCCACGGCACGTGACCAAACACTTTGCCTCTCGCAAGCTGGTTCCCGCGCACGCGCAGGGGTTGTGTTCTATATGTTACCCGAGTAGGTACGAGTTACTCTACCGGCTCTAATCATGTGACAACACTGATAGAGAAAGAAAACTTTTTACTCTATCCGGTCTTATCGCGTGACAACACTGATGGAGCAAGTAAATGTTTTACTGATGAAATTCATCCCACTTCGCGAAAATCCGATGGCCTTAGGTCGAAGAGGTTTTGAGTAGTTGGAACGGCAGGATGTGCCACAGCCTTTGAGTTTTCCGTTTTGAACTGGGAGTGGTAGCTGCCGCCATCTATCGCCGTGGGCATCATGAGAGCCAGTCGAGACAGCCGTCTCTACTTTCTCGGCAAACCCGGTATCTCGGTGCGCCAGCGACTTCCCTCTCCCTCGGCGTCCAGCGACTGCGCCATAGTCCTGTACAGCCCGATGCGGATGCGTTCAGTTGGACACGAGGTGAACACACCGCTAGGGGAAGTATTTGGCGCTGTAGGCGCACTGTCTAAAGGCCCGTTCACACTCTTGCGACCTCTTAAACCTGGGTTCCTTAAAACTTCTTAAACCAGAACACACACTGGCGCCATCTATTGGGAAGCAGTGTAAACTCGGCGGTTCGGCATATTTTTTTTTTTTTTTTTTTTTTTATTCCTCGCGCATTATCCTTTCTTTATGGCTCGAAAAACTTTTGTCAATGTTATAAACGAGCCTTTCTATGGGTATTACGCACATTTGACCTCGGAAATCCCACAAAACCTTCGCTCTTGTGAAATGCAGTTCCAGGGTCACCGCATAGATGGCGCCACAATGCTAGTGTGTTCCCTCGTTCTAAACACATTTAAGAAGTTTTAAGAGATCTCGTCTCTCTCAGTCGTACTCGGTCGCAAGAGTGTGAACGGGCCTTAATGCAAATCAGCGGAGTGGTATGTATCCTCCCTAGCAAAGTACGTATTTCGAGCGAGGCAGGGCACGGTTAGGTTTCAGGATGCGAAGGCTGGAAACCTCTACTTTTAACTAGGTTTGGGTGACTTTTGGAACACAGCCCTGGCTTGTGGTGAGCAAACGTGGGTTTCGCTCTGAACATACGTTCCTTAATTTCGAATCAGTGAGCCAATACCCGAGTGTTGGATCTCCTTCCATTTTTAAATAGCTGTTCTAAAACAAAACGAAGTATTTAATCTAAGGTATACAGGTACACTATACAATAATTACATGTGTGAATAAATGAAAGGTCAACTAAACAAATAGTGCTCCCGTCACACCTTTACCTGAACGGTCGTCATTCCTTTGAAATGGAATTCTAACAATTTACTTACTCGAGGCAGTTCTGAAACCGCTCATAAATTTTTGTCGTTCGTCCTCTGATTCTGTGGCCAGAAATCCTTAAAAAAAAATGTGCACATTGAGAAATATTTAGGTTAATTTTGTGCAACATGGCTCGCTGCATTCCATTACAGTTGAGGACGTGGAGAACATTTCGAAATAAAGGATATTTCTTCATAACAGATTTGTACGGCACTCATTACAAAGAAGCAAATTACTAGTAATCGATTACTTTTTAAAGTAATTTTCTAACAACTTGATTACATTCATTATAAAGCAGTAATCTGATTACTTTAAGAAATATTAATATTACTGGTAACCGTAACTATATTTCCCTCCTGTTTTTAATGGCAACCTTTGTGTGTACAAGTTTTCCGCCACGAAATCATCAAACCAAATCTGACAGGAGTATCTTACCGAAATTGGCGAATTAAGAAGATAAGTAGTTCACAGTTCGATGATTCTAATATAATAATGAACACTATGAAACACCCGTTTTCAAACCGGACGTAAACAGCCGTGTCCTTCTGAAAATCTGAAGTAATCGGAGAAGTAACTGTTACTTTTTCAAGTAACGTCCAATTACTTTTTGTCTCGAGTAATCAAGTACTAATCTAATTGAATAGTTTTTAAGCAAAAATGAATGTAACTAAAGTCGATTTTTTTTTTTTTTTTTTTTTTTGTCATTTGAGAGATGAGAGCTCATCGGTTCCATCACCTTTCGTTCCAAAATATGCCAAAGGTGTTGCCTTTATGAGGGAGTAGGTTTACAACTACAACCCATAATGCCGTTGCGTTTATTCCCTCCGATTCAATTGTACTTCCAGCACAGAGTTGGGGGCCTCCCCCAGACGAAAAATGTTGGCCCAGACAGCTTGAATGTGTTTGGGCGCCCGTACAAGCAGCAGCTTGCTTAGCATTCTTCACCAACCGTCCATTAAAATCACCTTTCTGTGATTCACTGACAGAATGAGAACGGCAAGGTGCCTCATTAGGTCGCATGGCGTGGCGTCAGGCCACGTCATGTGGCCCTATGGCGGCACATGTTACGTGACGGTACATAAGACCTATAAATACTATTATTTAGAGCGACTTTGGGATGACGTCAAGCAACACTGCGACGTCCTTGCGTCACGTGACGTTGCGTGTACCGTCATAGCGTCATCATATGACACCAGGACGCCAGACTCGCCTGACGTCACGATGTCAGTAACTTCGCATAAGACGTATTAATACTACACACCTAGAGCCCTTTTAGGATGACGTCACGGGATGCCGTGACGTCATCGAGGCTACGTCTGTGGAGAAGAGATTCTCAAGACCTGGCTTTATAAATGCCGTGCGTTTATTACCGGTTTTTACAAAGAAACCGATTGGTGTGATGACGCCGGCGTCTGTCTGTCCCTCAACAGGGATCTGGGATACCACAGGGACGTGCTGCCTTCGGAGTTTGTCGAAGTCCTCGAAATATACAGCAAGATTGAGAAGCGATATGGCAAGTGAACAGCTGGTACACCGGAAGGCCTGCCGGATCGAACTGGGACGTCTACACAAGAACATAATCATCGGGGATCATGTTGCGATGGATTAGCATCTGTAAAAATAAAGGTATCTCCTGGTATTCATGGAATAAATTGAGACGGCAGCGGCAATACCCAAACTAAAAAAAAAAAAAAAAACTTCGTTTCACATAGACGACCGAAAAAAGAAGCTTCGAGTATCGACACTTTACGTCCCGATAGTCTTGTGGGCGCGGCCCTTTTGTTGCCAGGTAAAGAGCGAGCACAACAAAGCACAACGGGCCATGTGACCCTCTGATTTTAGGTTTGGTACCAGGCGACACAGCCGGTATCGCTTTAGCTTTAATATTTCCGAAGGACGCAAAAGCGTTTTCTTGGATTTCGGATAAAGCTTCAGACATCGGTGTGGTACCGTGCTTCAGTGTGGTTACTCTGAAGCACGGTATCTTTAGTAGCTCCAAAGTGCCCCACGTGCGCAAACACCTATCTTCAGCGGGTTTCGAATTGCGCGTGTGTGGCCACACAAGCAGAAAAGCATGGCGGTGGCCAGATGTCCTGCTCTGCGGTTGCGCACACATTTCTCAGAAACCTCGAGAGGACGAATAACAATGTTATTTTATTCGATTTGTAATAAATTCCTAAGACGTTGCTTTTTCTTTCCTTTTCTTTTTTTCACGCGCAGTTGTTTAAATAAAATGCGCGTTTGAAGCATATATAATGTGCAATATCCTAGAAAAAAGAATAAAACAAAGAAAAGCAACATCTCGTACGTTCTATCGCGAGGCAAGAACACGCCCCATACTGTTTCAACGTGCCGTTCCATTAGAGAACTCTCGGGGTACGTCGACCCTTTGCTAATCAGGTATTACCGCGATTATTTTTGTTGCCATTATTCGATCGCATAGTTTACTTCACTACTCCTCGTGACACTGGGCAAAGACCCGTGGTGATCGACGACACCAGAGACAAGAATCATCAGCCGGTCAGTATCCGCCACCTCTCTGTGTGTCACGCGAGGAATTGACTCAAATGGAGAGAGAGAACGCGTAAAGCGCGATCCAAACCAACGCTTCTTTTTGCGCCTGTAGGTCGTGCGGCTGCGGATGTGACGCATTCCGCGTCGTTTTTGCTGTTTCCGGGCGCGCTTTCTGAGTCAGAAGCGTGCGCTTTGGTTTGGACGGGCCAGCTACGGGCGGGGGCGCACGCGCGCACGCAGGCACGAGCGCACAAGCAAAGTGCAACAGCGACAGACTGGCCGGCGAGAGAAAGAGAGAGGGAGAGAGATCGCGTTGTCATGTTGGAAGAGAATAAAAGGGAGGGAGGAGAGGGCAGCCAGACGGTGAGAAACGCGGAGCCGGAACTAGCTTGCCCTCCACCGATTGGCCGGGACACAGGCGCGGCCTGCTACGTCACCGCGCTTTTTTGTGCGGCTTGAGAAAGAAGTTGAAATCAACCAACTTCTTCGTGCGCGCCCGGAAGGAGCGAAGAAGCGGCGGGACGTCACGAAAATGCGTCACATCCGCAGCCGCACGACCTACAGCCGCAAAAAGAAGCGTTGGTTTGGATCGCGCTTAAAGGTGGTGCGATTTTCTATTGTTTTGGGAGACGGACGTTCACCGCTTCTCTCGCTCTCTATGTCTTCCCCTCCCCTGGCCTCCACGAATATTGGTATGAAAGTGAGAACCGATGAACGATCGATAACCCGTAACTGCCACTTTGTCTCTGACTGGTCGAGTTTTCGTTCATGGAGTGTCCGTCGTCTCCATGGACATCTCTTAATGAGATGTTCAAAATTCATGGCATAAAGGTGAACGGAAACCTAGAGCTTCAATTGTACTTTGCTTGCCAAAAACACACACACACACATACACACATAGACATTGTCATCAGCAAGAACAAAAAAACTCTAGGGAGTGTCTACATCCACGCGCGGGGATGTAGCCACGTCGGGAGGAGATAAGGCTCCATCCACGCAATACGTCACTTCCGGCGCACTTCTATCAACTTCCGGTCTTGCCTCCCATTGTTTTTCCATCTGCTCGGCGGCCATTGCACCTTGCGTTCCTGACGTTTGCGGACTGCTGTCTACTGTGCCTGCCTGGTGTTCCGCAAGCGGGTTTGACTTTCTCTGAAGCGTTTTCTTTTTTTCTTTTTTTTTTTTTTCCTGTTTTCTTGGACAAGGAGTTTGGCCGTTTGAGTATTAGCACGGTCGCGCTTCTGATCTGCCTCAAGTTTTGGTTGCCGGGGATTCGACGGTGAAATACTTGTCCTAGTATTTCCCATCGAATAACCGGTTGGCTGTCGAAGTGCGGGCGTTTAGTGGCATTAGGATCGAGGTTTTGTTTTCCAAGGTGTCTGACGCCCTGCTCGATTTTGGCAGAAACAACACCAGCGTTTGTGCCAGCGCGTACGTTGACAAGTATCGTCGGCTGGCCGCTCAGATCTTGGAACGCAATCGACGATGCAGATCGCCTTTTCTTCTGTCTTTCCGAGGCGGGAGAACAGGTTCTCTTCGATGGAGTGTCAGCGTAGTCAGAGTGCCGAGATCCAGGCGTTGCATGATCAGCACAGAGACGTGAACTGCTGCAGGAGTTCTGCCGCAAGAAGGGCTTCGTGTTTATCGGTGATCTCGTGAACGAGTGGCATCTGTGCATCGGCTACGGTTTTATTTGTCATGAAATAAACTGTTTCTGGAATCTTTTACCCAGTTTTCTCGATTGAATGCTCTCAGTATGTTTGTTATTAATGGGTCTAATGCATGCTTTCCCTTTTCTCACAATCTTTGTGATTGCGAGCGTGCGCGCAAGTCAAGAACGCACGGAGCGTTGGGCACGTACTTGTCCCCTTCGATACCCATAAGCTCACATTAAAACGCTTCGAGCCAAGCCAACCATACACACGACGAAGCCCCTCCGCCTCGCCTCAGCAGCGATGCACACATGGGCGAAGGCCCCGGAGGCCGCACCCGCACAGCCCGCACGCACGGATGGCACGCACGCCGCCCACGTCTGTGGACATCGTAGCTCTAAAGATATATATTGGTACTATTTTTATGATGCATGATATTTGCTGTTAGTCTTAGAAAACAGTAAACAATTGATGAATTCTCTAAAAATTTGTGAGGTCACGTGACATTAACTTTAAAACAACAATCAAATGTAACCTCTTTATTTTTATATCCTATATTTACTTATAAGAAAGCATAGTATGTACATGAAAACAAATTATCTCCTTAGATTATAAGTCACGTGACCTTTTGCGTGGATGGAGCCATATCTCCTCCCGACTTGGCTACGTCCCCGCGCGTGGATGTAGCCTCGGCCAAAACTCTAACCTACAGAAACACATCAGGGTAAGCTGGAACACATGCATTCTCCATTGGCAATACATTGTAGCGTTACAATCAAGTTTTTTTTGTTTTTTTTCTTGCAAATAACAGGCGAAACACCCGAGTCAAAGGGGTGCTTTAGTAGATCACTTCCTTAGCTCCGCATCCCGTGGCGGAGGTCGACGCTGCTACTGAGCATGCGCACCGCTACATTTGCCTGCACTATTCGAGGGAGGATTTCCGGAAGCCGGAAGCTAGCGGGATGGCGGGTCTGGTAACAGGCTTCGGTGGCTTGTCAGCTTACAGATGAACGGAGTGCACCTACACTCTTTCTCGTAAATACAATATTTTATTTTTACAAGGACTACCATAATATTTCAAAAATGTTGCAGAACATTTTTGAAAAAATTGTGGTAGCTTAGGTCGGCTATGCCAGGATATACGTAGCGTGAGCTTATGGGCACAAAATGAGAGGCGCTATCAAGCGGCTCCGGTGCAGCGTCAGACTTGGCTACTGCGCAACGGAGGCGCACAGCTGGGCACACGATGGCGCCAGTGCGTCTGCCGCGGCTATGACGTCACTCCTCTGGAATGCGCAGACCGGTCGAGGCGGGCGCGGCGGCGGCGGAGCGCGCGGCGGCGGCGGCTTCGGCGCGCCAGCTGTGCGCCGTGTGACGTCACAGCTCCTCGCGCATGCGCAGCACGGAGCACGGCCGGTACTCTTGTTCTGACTGACTGAACACAAGTTCCACCCGAACGCTGACGATAGCCCTCGAGTGCAATCTAGGACTCGCGTTGGCCCTCATTTGGTGACGCGGGAAAGACACTGTGGTGTACCGGTAATTTTAGGGTAATGCAGGATATATATTTATTTAACTGATAGATTACATTCGGTTGACAACGTCTTCTTCGGTCTGCGACCGCGCCCAGTCTGTTCTTTCGCGCAGGCGTCACGTTCTTCACCGGGGCTCGCTCTCCCTTGCCGGCGTCTCCGGTTGCATCAGCCCGCGCGCCGTTGCCTGGACCAAAGGTCGTGTTCGCTGTGCGTGGCGAACACGCACACAATACACGGCACGCACACAATACACGGCAATATCTCCCCCTTAAAAAAACTTCACTTTTTCACAGGCCCAGCCGCGTTGGTGGCTGGCGCGTCCGCGTTGATCTTCTGAGAAGAGGAGGGCTACCCTCCGTGCTCTGGCCACGTGTGCGTCTGGCTGGCGAGCTTGGAGTGCCTGCCTCCGGCGTTGCAGGATCGTTGTGCGTGGTTGGAAAGTCGTCACTGGAAATCGGAGACGATGAACCGTTTCGCTGGATGATGCCGCGGGGAGGGGCGAACTTTTTCGATGTTTTTGCGCCCTTGAGGCTATCGTCTTGATTCGGAGATATTCCCTCCTCCTCCTTGGGTACATGTCGCAGCTGTTCAATGTGCCTTTTCCAGGTATTTCCGTCGTTCGTGCGAATCTCATATGTTCGATTTCCCAGAACTCGTACGACGACTCCTTTCGACCATTTCTTGCCATTCCTGTAGTCTCTTGCCCAGACCTGGTCGTTCAGATGTAGGTGTCGCTCTTTCGAGTTGCGCGAGACGTGCTGCTTCGCCTGTTTTGATCGCACGACATCCGTTATTGATGGTCTAAGAAGATCGAACCTTGTGCGAAATTCGTCTCCTGTCATCATCTTGGCAGGAGTTGAGCCAGTTGTCGTGTGCGGGGTTGTCCGGTATGCCACCAAGACGTTATGGCATGCCTCTTCCATGGTCAGCCCCGACTT